TTCGCCATAGCATTCCTGAATGAATAATTAGAAGTCATGGAAGAATGTGAAGAGAAGATTCAACAAGTAGATATGGTAAAAATATTAGAATAAAATCAAAGCAAATGGCTTGCACTTACAAATTAAACAAGCAGAATAAAAACTAGAAAAAATTAAAAAATAGGCATGACAATATTTTTAAAGTTATACTTATAGTAACAGTTATTATTAGCTGTGCTGTCAGTTATATGAAAATATACTTTGCCTAAATTCAAGAGATGTTGTAATGAATAATTAAGTTTTTCTTTTGTTCACAAACAAGTTAATTTCACTTACTAAGTTTCCTGTTTTCCAGAATTTAATATATTGCTCCATTTTACTGATAAATTTTAATTAAAAAATGATGCTACACATGTTTTTTTAGGGTCTTAATTACACTAAGTCTTTCAGGTCTCTAACAGAGCCTGACCAAGTGAATTAAATTACACCTTCATGTTGTAGCAGTGTAAATCCAGCTTCAAAAACATCTAACTGATTCTGACTATACTATTTAGTCAATTAGAGTGTGTTTAGTAACTGTTAGATTTGGGGCAGCTCACTAAACTGGAAAAGACAAGAGTACTTAATGCTGTGTAAAAATGAAACCTGACAACTGATTCTATTACCTATTAAGAACATGTTATTCAAGCTAGCAACCATAGTAATCATATATAAGTTTATACACTATTGAATTAAATGCCTTTGATTTGGCAATGGGAATAGTAAGTTGTATGCCCCAAAACTAGTGCCTGACCGTAGATTTGCAATGCATAGGGGGAAAATAGTAGCTACAGTGACTTCTGACACTACCAACCAGGGAATTCCAAAGGTTAAGAGCACAGTCCCCATCAAGACAGCCCTCACTTCAGACACCAGCTGCAAGTTCAGGGGTTCCTATGCCCCTGATCAACTTGCTACAAATCCGGAGTTTCCCACTGCATGCTCAGCTACAAGAATTCACTGAAATGACTGACATAACTCTGGAAAGTGCTATACTGATGACTGTAGTTTTATTATAGCAAAAAGGACACAAATAAGGGCCAGCCAAAAGAAGAGTCTCAAACAATGAGGTCTGGGAGGAGTCCAAGTGCGAAGCTTCCATGTCCTCTCCCCTGGGACTTTGAGAGACAAGACGATTGCCCTCTTAGCAGATTGATGTGTAACAATATGCACAGAGTGTTGTTAACCACAGAAGCTCACCCGAGCTTCCGTTTCATTACATAAGCAAGATCGAGTGAATCATTGGCCAAAGATTGAACTCAATCTCCAACCCCCATCTCCTTCCTGGAGGTCAAGCTTATAGGATGTGGCTCAGAGCCCCAAACTTCTAATTATAGGTTGGTTTATCTGGCATGGCTAGTCCCCATGCAGGGACATCTTGTTTGCATAAACTGTCTAGGGACACACTATGAATCACATCATAAGCATAAACTCAAGTGTGGTCAGAGGGTCTGACCACCCTCCACCATAAATAACAGAGATACTCCTATCGCTGGGGAAATCACAAAAATTTAGAAGCTCCCTCCCAAGAACATGGAAGAAAGGCAAGCCCAGTGTTTTATTATACAGAAGACACAGGGAATGTCCAGGCCTGTTCTCACTATGGCAATGAATGAGCCTGGCTATATGCTTATCTAATTTTAAAAATGATACAGAGATGCACTTTGTTTCTATTATCATGCTAAATTATTTTATAGTGTTGCTTTTATAAAAATAGTTAAATTACATTTGACAAAAACATATATCAGTTATCTTAAAACTGTTTTTTCCCTGGAAGAAACACATATCGATATTCAAAAAATCCAGTCAAACCAGTATAATTACTTTCAATAAATGCAACTAACTGTATTAGTTTGAAAATCATGTTTTCTGATTTTTTTTCTTTTAATTACACCTATCTCAAACTGTTTAATAGGTTTGTAAGATGAGCTAACATCTATGTTTATACCTTTTTTAGAGAAGAAATTTTTTTGTGGTGATCCAGAGACATTCTTTATGAAACTACTAAAGGGTAAAAAAGATTTAAAAAAATACAAAAATAGAGAAAAAATAGAAATGTTTACTTGCAAAAAGAGAGATGTACCTTTTGGCAGAAATGAAATAAAAAATTTTAAGGAGGTACAAGTGTTTTTATTACATAGAGATCTTGTGTAATGTTTAAGTCAGGGCTTTGGAAGTGCCCCTCACCAGAACAGTGTTCACGGTACCCAATAGGTAAGTTTTTATCTCACACCCACCTTCCTGTCTTCCCTCTCCTTGCTATCTCATGTCCTTTGTATCACTGTGCCCATATGTAGCCAACTATTAGTTTCCACTTATTAATGAGAACATATGGTGTTTGGTTTCCATTCCTGAAATACCTCACTTATGATAATAGTCTCCAGTTCTCTCCACGTTGCTGAAAATGACATTATTTTATTCCTTTCTATGCCTGAGTAGTACTCTATTTTCTTCATCCACTCATGAATTTAAAAGTACTTAGGTTGATTGCACATTTTTGCAATTTTGAATAGTGCTGCGATAAACATTCAACTGGAGGTGTCTTTCTGATAAAATGACTGCATTTCCTTTGGGAAGATTCCTAGCAATGGGATTGCTGGATTGAATGGTAGGTCTACATTTATTTCTTTAAGGAAACTTCATACTGATTTCCACAGAGGTTGTACTAATTTGCAGTCCCACTCATAGTGTGTAAGCCTTCCTTTTCTCTCTGTGTCCATGCCAACCTCTATTGTTTTTTGGCTGTTTTTTAATGGCCATTCTGATAGGGGTATGGTGGTATCTCATTATAATTTTACTTTGCATTTTTAACCTTTTTGATCTAGTTTTATTTTTATTTTGATAAGAAATATAAATTAATTTTATTTACTAGATGCACAGATAGATTTAGAAATAAATGCAATGGTTCTTTAAAATTGGCTCACTACAAAAAAATCTTAATATGCAGATTATTTTAGAGTTTATCTACCACATGTCAATCTATTTCATTTGATTATCAATTCTGATCCCCCATAATCAAGAAGGTGAAGAAAGGTGGTATGGCAAAGAAAGCACTCTATCTGGAGCCAAAGGGCCTGGAGTTATAGTTAGGTTGAATTCTCTTCTCTAGGTAAAACCTTGGTGAAATCATATAAGCTCTCTAAATTTCAAGTTTCAAAAGTGTAGACATAGAAATAATAATAACTAACTCAGCGTGACAATCAGTAACTTCATGTACATTGAACCACTTTGTAAATGTTGAAAACACACATTAGCTAATATGGGCCGAATTTATTACCTAAATTCACGTTAACAATAAGCAGTGTAACTAGAGAAAGGGTCCAGTTAGCCTGATCTTTTATCTAATGCCTTTTCCCCAATAGCACACTGTTCCTGAGATAGAATATGTCATCTTTCAAGTATGCTACCAATTAGATCAATTTATTATTAAGAATCAATATTGCTAGCAGTTGTAGTGGTGGTAGTTGTGTTGGTGGTAGTGGCAAACTCCAGTCTATAGTGTGATAAAGTTCTAATATCTCAACACTGGTCTCAACCAAAATCTATTTACAAAAACCACATATAATGTATCCTACTTGAAAGTCATACCGGGGGCATTATTTCCTAGATGAGTATGTGTTGGAGATTGAGATACGGGCAGATTTATCATTCATTTAAAAAGCTGAGAAAACCTGAGTTAGAGGTAAAAGGTAGAAAATCTTTAACTCTCTGTAGACCAGGATTCTGGTGCAGTAAGACTAATGTGGAAGTCTGTTAATAAAGAGGCTAAGAATAAACACGTAATGAGAAAAAATCCATATATAAATGAAAAGTGTATTTCAAAAGGATCATAATGTGGTACTCTGTCAATAACATTGTGATTCTAGAAACTCCAGATTATGGATAATTTCTTCATGAAAAATAAATCTTGAAGGAAAGACATATTCTCCTTTTAGCTAAAAAGGTCTAAAGTAGTATGCTTTATCTTTGATCTTTAAAATCTAAATTATTTTAAACCAGACAAATGCACTGTAATAAAATTGGAGATGCAAGAGTCAGTTAAATAGATAAAAAGATAATGTACATAGCATCTGGATGCTTTATAATCTTTGTCTCTAAAATGAAGATAGTAACTACATTTACCTGATTACAGTATTTTGAGCATTAAGGGAAGTAATATATTTAAGATCCTTAAAGCAATATATGACACACTCAATAAATATCACTTATTATTGTCATTATTATATTTAAACTTGAAAAGGAGTGTTATAATTGAGTCATTTAAATTTCATTTGATAATCAGTGAAACTAACTAACTCACCTGTAGTCCTCTAACTCTTGAAGTTAATGCTTTTCCACCATTTCTGAAACAATATTTCTTGAGAAATATTAGAAAAATAATAATTCTTCAATAAGAAATCAATTTGAGATAAGTAATTACTTTGGAAAATATGGAAATAAAATATTCTAAGGTTTCTTTGTTTCAGTCTATTCACAGCTTTCAAAAACTATTCAATATTGTGTAAATTTAAGATACTATTGGGAATTATTTTCCTTTTGGGAAGTTTAAAATGAATAATATAGAACAATTTCTCATAATTTAACTGGTATGTTATCTTCTCTACTAAACATTTTTATAGAGACGGTTGTAACATAAATATTTTCATTAAGCATAAAGTTTAAAATATGTTTTTAATCTGGTAAATTTGACTGTAGGAGGTGAGAAACTAGAGTAAGTAGAAAGGAAAATTTCAAATACAACAAAAGAATGCAGGCACTAGAAAAATTGTTGCCTAGAGCTTGGTACCATTCCTGAAACAAACAAACAAAAAAACAACAAAAAAAAAACCAAGAACAAGTGGGTTGAGGAGAAAGGAAAGGAAGATTTATTAATTAGCCCGCAAATGAGGAGGATGTCAGACTCTCATCTTAAAGAGCCACCGTTCTCCTGTTGAGAGGAATTTAGGCTATTTTATAGGTACACAGTTACCCAGTTAACTCACAGTTTTCATGACCTGTGTCGCATAGTGTTCCCACCGGCCTGTGGTGGCTTGATTGTCCCTTATGTGATCTAATCTTGCGGTTTCTCCATCATTTTTTGTCTCGTGAACACTGAGCAATCCCCTGAAGCCAGAAGAAGAGAATGAACAAACCAGCACAAACAGACCTGCAAGTTAAGCTTCCTGGGATTGTTACATTGTTACTATGAGATTATAGTGGCCCTTTGGCTTAATTAATTTTTAATCCTGTAACAGAATTGCTTTGTATTCTTTATTTTCATACTTTTTTGATATCATTTTATCTTCCTTGGCTAAAATAGTTTTAAATCTTGTGTGTATATAAATCAATATAAACTCAAACATATTCTTGTTTATATATGCATACATGTACACATTTATTTATTTAATCAAGTATATGTAGCATATGAAAAGCCTAAAATATAAAAGTGTTCTTTAACTTTTTTAACCCATTCCTCCCACACATACAGTACCACAATCTTCCAAAACCAGTTAAAAGTTTTGTATATACCCTTCCTGACCAATTTTTTAGCATTAAAAATTATATATATATGAAAAAATATATATGTATGTATTGATTTCGTCTCCGTTTGTATTGCTTTTTTTAAGAAACATAAATGGGTTCATTTTGTTTGGCAATTTACTTGGTATGTTAAGTTATTCTATTTTTTTTGTTGAACATTCCAACATTCATTTACTTAATAGAACAACACACAGAATTCCCCTATTAACAGAAAAATAAATATGTTGCCTCTGAAGGCAGATGTGTACTCAACAGAGAACATCTCAACATGCCAACAGAATACAATTCTACAAATCAAAAGGATGAAAAGAGTGAGGAACACAGGTGAGCTGCCAACACTATGTGGTTTTCAGAATGCATTTGGAATGCTGAGAAAGAAAAATGTAGATTTAGAGCAATTGCCTATCAAATTAATCATTCTAACTTGTTACGAGATTGAGTATCTCATATATCCACTTGTTCCAGTTTTGTAAGCCCCTAAATAGCACTTTTAAATAGAGCAATTAATTTTTTTTCTTCATTAACTTTAGTTATGATTCGAAGCCTAGAAATCTTGGAGCAATTTCATTAAAAAAAAAAAAAGCCTGCTTACTAAGTAGATTTTCCCAGGTTTTCACAACTCACAGTGACGCCAAAGGCTTCAGTGTGGGCCTCATTCAGAAGGAAAATAAAAAAACAAACAAACAAACAAAAAAAAACATAGAAATCTAGATAAGGTTTGTTAGTTTAAGGTTTCAATCAAGTATTGACACAGTGAAATAAAGGACAGATAATAACTGGTTGCCTATTTTCCTACTATTCTTAATACATAATTCTATGTAATGAGTTATATTAAGTGCTGAGGTTTTCTCAAAAACATTAGTGTCTTTGGGGATACATTTAAGTGGCAACCAACAGGAGTTCATAGGGCATGATTTGTCAATAGTAATGCATTTCCATTGTGAGGATAGCAACGGATATGTAATTTTGCTCTTATTAACAACTGCAAAGTTGACTAACATTTATACCTCTGTATCAAGAAGAGTCTGACTAGTTATTACATTCAAATACTATTAATATGCTTGAATTAGTTTGGGGGGGGGTGTTTGGTAGCTTCCATTGTTTTCTACTGAATCTGACTGAAGAAAAATATTACAAAATGTTATAGACATTGTCCACTCTTGATAGCAGCATTATTTCTACTAGATATCATGTTTGATGTCAGCATGCATGTGTTATTATAATCAACCCTTTCTGTGAAATGTGGAAACTAATTGTTTCCCTTGTGAAATAAAAAAGTATATTATATTTTCTATAAACTGTTTAAAGTTTTCACATTTGACTAGGTGTATCTGCAATGGTCACAGTCTTTTACAAAGGAAAAGTGTTGGCTTTGAAAAGAGACAAAAAGTTACTTCTGTCCCTCTTTCATTAAAAAAATTTGCCAAGATATCAAGGTCTTTTAATAAATGTACATTAAATGCCAGTAAAGCTGAAAGGAAAGAAGTTCATGAAAGAAAAAATTACAGAGAAGTGGTTGTTTGTACAAATTAATTACATATAATAACATCTTAAAATCTCATATTTTACATTTTCCGTTAAAAACAGCAACAGAATTTTCCAGTTTTAAATTCGAAGATACAGAATTTGTTGTCCCTTATTATTACATTGCTTAATTTTTCAAAAGTTTATTACATAGCAAATAAATATTAATACATTTTAAATTTTAAGAAAATAGTATCTTTTCTAAAATGATTATTATCCCTTCACATTATCATGATATAAAATTAAATCTATATTCATAATGGTAGATATTAAGTGGTTGGTATAATACAAGTGATAGGTATGAAATAGTAGACATAATATTTAGATTGATCATTTTTTTCCCTAATGTTACTACTTTTTCCTTCAAAAATTCTGATTAAAATTGCTTTTTCACTAAAAGAGTTAATGTTTTCATTATTTGAAATGGTGAATGAACTAGACATTGTTTACAAACAGGAGCCCTGTAGGTATTTTGCTTTATGGAAAACACTATTGATTGGCTTTACAATACCCATTCGTTTTCATCTTCCTCGTCAAGAGGACCCCAACTTTATTCACTCTTCTGTGAGTAGCCAAGGGAGGTTGAGCCTTTTCAGAGCCATAGGTTGTGAATTTGGGGAGCTGTAAACTGTTTTCAGTGTCCTTAATCCCCTTGATAAATTAGTAGATTTTAGTATGGGTATGTGATGCAAATTTGTGCAATAAACTATAAGAGAAAGTTTGCTGATGGTTTTCTCAGAAACTCTTTCTTGTTCTTACACAAGGAGTGAGAGAAGGCTGGATGTTCCTGTTTCTGTCTACAGTGTCATTTACTGCCTGTGTGTGGTGTCTGGTGCTGTGACAGCCGTCTTGGAACCATGAGAGAAGGCAGCTGTACCAGGATAATTCTTAGGACGGTAGTGCAGGTAAATATAAAAGAACCCAGGCTTTTGAAGGTATTGTAGAGTCATTGAAATAATTCGACTTTAGGATTGCATTATCTTGGGACTTTTTATTATAAGATAGTGTGCTGTTATTTTGAGCCCTTTTGAGTTTGTTTTCTTACTGCATTCAAATACAACTTAATGGTAATATTTTGTGTTCTAGAATTTTCTTTTGTTCATTTCCTCTAAATCATTGCAAGGAATTGTTTTTCCCTAAAATAACTGTTTTCAATACATCACTCTTCTGCCCCTAAATTACTCAAGAACTCAATGCATCAAGTTTAAATTCCCGTGTTTATATTTTAAAGTCTCAATTAACTGCTCATGTCTTCTGTCCTCAGCTGCCAAGCTTATGAACTTTTTTTCCTGTTCTCTCCATGCCTATTTATTTGCTCTTATTATTTCTCCAATGACTTCCATCCTCCTCTCTATTTATCTAAATTTTACCAGTCTATTTTGCACCCAAACAAATGCAACTGACTCCATTTATTAAAGATATTTTTCTACAAAAATGTATGCAGTATCAATTTACTTTACCATATAGAAGATATATATGTACCACTGCCTTATTCTCCCATCTTTAATATAAATAATAATACAATGGGCCGGGCGCTGTGGCTCACGCCTGTAATCCTAGCTCTTGGGAGGCCGAGGCGGGTGGATTGCTCAAGGTCAGGAGTTCAAAACCAGCCTGAGCAAGAGCGAGACCCCGTCTCTACTATAAATAGAAAGAAATTAATTGGCCAACTGATATATATATAAAAAATTAGCCGGGCATAGTGGCGCATGCCTGTAGTCCCAGCTACTCGGGAGGCTGAGGCAGAAGGATCACTGCAGCCCAGGAGTTTGAGGTTGCTGTGAGCTAGGCTGACGCCACGGCACTCACTCTAGCCTGGACAACAAAGTGAGACTCTGTCTCAAAAAAAAAAAAAAAATAATAATAATACAATGATCTCACTTCCTTTCAGCAGAAGTGATAAGCAAGAAGACATGCTACTAAATTATATAAGTTTAGAGTAAGAATATTATATTTTAAAATTTACATTTAACCTATATGCTAAACTTTAATGAACTTATTTTTTACCTGTGAGTATCAAATGCAAACAGGGAAGTTTGTAATATTGTATAGTAAAAAGAATAATATTAACAATTATAATTGGAGTTAGATAAACCTCCAAAAAGAACAATGTGAATGGCCCCTATAAAATGTTATTATAGGACAAATTTCAATAAATATTTGTGTAAAATCAAAAATTACATTAATGGCCAGATTTTGGTAGAGTAATCTGTTTAAAAATGTATCTAGCTATATAAGCCTTAATGCATAAAGGGATGAGTTTGAAACTATACTTTATGGAGGTAAAGAAGCTAGGTCTAGTCTTTGATAAAATCTAAATATTTTTTTCTTGCTTAAAAATTCATTGCCTATCATTAAGAGAAAGTAAGGCTCAGAGTGCAGCAGCCTGCACTAATACTATTTGGATTCACTGGATAAGAATATAGCTATAAACTAAAATTAACTGGAAAAATGGATATAATTATTCACAAAAGAGAAAAAAGCATTTCTCTTTGAAGTACCTGGAGAGTAACAAAGTATGTTGTTGATTCATCTCAAATTAACCACTGATAACTTCAGTTCTATAGCATTTAAAGGAGTAATAGCATGAATCTGAAGCTATTTTGATACCATAAAGTACTTTATGAAAACATTAGACCACATCTGAAGACAACTGTTAAGTAGAATCTCTAAATTATAGAAGAATGTAATTTAAGACATGAGTTTTTAGTATGTAGTGTTTTGTTTTATCTGAACCAACAGAAAAAATAAAATCCTGACTGCCTATTGAATAAAATCCTGATGGCCTATTGATTTAGTATCTGCTAGGGCTTGAATGTTTGTTGCTCCTCAAAATTTCATGTCAGAACTTAAAACCCCAATGTGAAAGTATTAAGAAGTGGGGCCTTAAGGGGGTGATTAAGCCATAAGGTAAGAGCCCTATTAAAGGAGATTAGTGACCTTATAAAAGAGCTGGGGGGACTAACGACACCCTTTACACCCTCCCACCTCCATTAATTACATGTGAGGACTCAGTGTTCTCCCTCTGCCCTGGGAGGAGGTAGCAAGAAGCCCTTACCAGACAGTGAGTGTTTGTGCCTTGATCTTGGACTTCCTAGACTCCAGACTGTAACAAATACATTTCTGTTATTTGTAAATTACCCAGTTTCAGGTATTTTATTATAGCAGCTCAAACGAAGACAATATCTATAATGAATATGTTTAACTTTTTATAAATGACCTATGCTTCTTTAAACTTAAAAGTGTTTTTCCATTAAGATTTTTAAGAAAAAGTTTAATTTGGACACAAGCTGATAAGAAAATATTTTCCTAATTGTTATTTTTACTGTTTAGCCATCCACAGTGTTTGAAATTTTTATAATTGAGTCTTCTAATATTTCATGTCAATAACTAATGTACACGGAATCTTGATATGCTATGATGTCACCTTGGAATATATTTTATTAATAACAATTAAAATAATAATAGTTTTAAGTTCTAAGTTTTAGTTTGTGCTAGGGACCATCCTAAAGAGTCTTTACATGTATTAACCAAATTTATTTTCACAATAATCTTATAAAGAAGAGCCATTAATAACACAGTTACAAAATGAGAAACAGTAAATAAGTGACAGGATAAGGCTGAGACAATTTAAGTGTCAGACTTGAGAAACTTTAATCTGTTTTTCAAGAACATTTTAACTATAAGTAATGAAATCAATCATTTACTATTTATTAATATACAAAATGATTTTCAGGGCAAAGTAGCTGGCATATGCAAGTAACATGGTAATTCAGAATCATAAATAATAATGGTTATGTAATAAAAATATTCTTTGAGTGCTAAAATGCCTCCTTACTTAAGTATTACTATATTATGGCTAAGTGAATATCGAGTGAAATGAGACTCACAGCATGTGAGACAACTTTAAGGTCACACGTGGATTGTGTTGACTAGAAGGAAAATGTGTATTTGATTTCAAATTACTTGTCTCCATATATTCTAATCTTTAGAATTTGCATATCACATAAGACTCACAGATCATATCTAATCTCTCTTCTACAGGAGAGTGAAGACCATTATTATGTTCCTCTGATTTTTTTGTTTCTAGTATACAGTTTGATAATGAAACTGAATGCATTTGGTTAATTTGTTGCAAGTCATTATAAAATGAACATATGGCAGACATTTAATTTAAATCATTAATAATGAAAAAACTAGTGAGTGTTAAGACTCAAAAAGCATTTGAGAAGTTTCATATATATATATATATAAGCAATTTAACAAAAAATTAGGAAAATATTACTGGGTTGCATGCAAAACTGCTTAATGTCCAATAAGGTATAATTTCTGGCTTTCACTTTTATTTGAATCACTACCAGACAAAAATCTACATATTAACTTATGCCAGAGGATTTTAAATTGCCAGGTTTACAAAATGTCATCCTTTGAAATTGACTGGTTAATAATGTCTTATAACTATTTCTAAGATTTTGAATAATTTTTCTAGCACTAGACTAAACATTTCTTAAAACTTAAAGTAGGAACTGGCTTCACTTCCACTTCAGCTAACCTTCCCATGCCATAAACTTTAGTCCCTTTCATCTCCAGATTTTAAAACGTGGCTTACATATTAACTGTCTCATGGTTCTCTTTTCTTATTTTCATGACATTTAAATTTAGACTCTACAGCCAATTCCATTGTTTACAATCAGGGCATAAACTAGCTCCTTACTTTACCTTCCTCTAACCTTACCTAAATCTCTGATTTAGGTTCTAAATCTGTGATTTAGATTCTAAAACCTCCTTCTTGCCAGAATCTTCATATTTCCTCACACACTGTCCTTTTTAATACCAACCAACACATCTCAGCTCTCCCCGTTCTTTCCTTCTAATCTGTTTCTATTCTTTGTGGCTGAAAATTGCTAAAGACAAATAAATCCTGGTGTTATTACTCTTAACTGTTTAGTCAGCCTCCAATCTTCCTTTAATTCTGTTTTATTCTTATATAAGCAAATGGCTACACCTTGTTTTGGGGGATGTTATATTGAAATGAAGACTATATGTGGTTAGCACACACCCATATGTGGTGTTCAACATTCCTGGAGAGTCACTTGTTTTCCTTTGGTCAGGAATGAAATGATGGTGTGATGATACTCCAGCCATTTTCCACTAACTGGAGGAGTTACTCCATCTAGGACTAGGAAGATATTAGGAATGGAGTGAGGGCATCAAGTAATAACGTGAAACACACATTTATTGCTCCACTCACGATCTATTTTCACAACACCATCCTGGTTTCATCTCTAGAGCTCTCTGAATTGCAATTATTATCATTTATAAAGATTAACCAAAGACAATATCAAAAAATTGTTGATGCTTCTTTGACAGATTTCCACAATTCTGTCTTTTTGAGGCCCCTCTGCAAGCATATTATTCTGTTGTATACTTTGGCTAGATACATTTATGTCATCTATTTATTTATTGTATTAGAATACATTGAATTACTCTTATTCTAATTTGGAAAATATTAATTAAAATTTTGAAAATTCACTGATTAAATATTAAGGTAAAAATAGATTATTTCATGCTATGCTTTGCATTTTCATAAGCTCTTAAATCCATTCTCCATGGCCAAATACTAGGGCAAGCTGTATCTATTTTCATAAGGTTTTTAATTTTTCAAGCATGAAATTGACAAGATAGAAATTAAATAAAATGGTTATTAATAAATACATTAACAAAAATTCCTTAAATACTATGACAAAAATTTAAAAAATACATACTTGAAGTATTCTTGCAAATTTATATTTCTCAATGGAAAATAGGTCAAAGAGTTTGCTTTCTCAGAGGGAAGTTTCTCTTGTTGTTTTTCTTTGTATCTAAAAAGGAAACACTAAAAAAGTATTAAATGAAGCTATTGAATGAAACTCACAAAGTGCTATAAAAATGAACTAACATCCAAAAACAAAGTTTAAAAAATTTTGTATTCTAGAATTCCTGAGGTTACTATTTGATTGTACTGAACTGAATTACCTTAAAAATTTGTTTTCATCTTACTGTGTTATTTGCATTTGTGTTTAGAATTAATGTTTTAAAATACTTAAATATATGCCATTAGTATACATGGTTTTGTTAACGTTACCAACAAACTATAATGAAATAGAACTAACATTTTATGACAGAATGATGGTGAATCCTTAGCTAGGAAATTCTGCCATAAAGAGTATGAATAAATCAAGATAACAAATGTTATTTTTAAAATACTTCTATTTTATTTCCTGTTGGCATGTTAAACGCTAAATTTACTGGACTCGGGAAAACTTACTATTATTCAGTTTGCATCAGAATAAAAAAACCTCTGGACAAAATGTAAAATATTGTGATAGGTCTTAAGTTTAGTGCAGAAGCCACTGAGCACACTTCCCTTGGACCAGAGGGTGTTTCTATAATCACATAGACATTACCTCATATGGAATCACTGTAATAGAAAGTGAGAATATGACATTTCCAGTGTTCACATTAGCTACAGATATTATTGCCAGATGCGGGAGTTGAGAAGAAGGCAAATGAGGTATGAAAGACAGAAGGAACAAAGTTCAGAAAGTAGTAAGAACAACATCAATCCACAATATTTTAACATGCAAACTTCCTTAATTTTTGCTTCTAATTAATCCTATTTTCTTAGAAAAGAAAAACAGAAGACATCCCTCAAATTCAGTCAAGGGTGAGTCATATGTGTCTTATCAAATTGTCAAGTAAAAAATAATAAGACAACAACCAATTTGAATTTAGAGTCATGTGTCCTTGATCTCTTTCTAATTCTACAACTGGTTTAGTACTTTAAATTTATATAGTTACCTATCCACATATAAAATTTAATTTAAAAAAATTCAAGATGATAATTAAAACATTGATAGTATCAATTTCTAGATAAAATTATTATGTTAGGCCTATTTTGAAAATATCCAGTTGCAATTGCAATGCCATTAGGCTTCACTTTAAAATAATTATATGTATATCAATAATATTAATACCGAGCATACATGCGATTACTTGGATCTATTACTATTTATTACTTTCAAATGTTATGTATTTCTCTTTTTTTAAGAATATTATGAGGGTACAAATGTTTAGGTTGCATATATTGCCTTTGCATCTCTCGAGTCAGAGCTACAAGTGTGTCCATCCCCCAGAGAGTGAGCACCACACCCATTAGGTGTGAAAATACCCATCCCCTCTTTTCCCCTCCAACCTGCCCAACACTTGATGAATGTTACTTCCATATTCTCACATAAGTGTTGATCAGTTAGTACCAATTTGATGGTGAGTATATATCATCCTTGTTTTTCCATTCTTGTGAGTTTTATGTAGATTCTAATTATCAGCCTTTCATAAAATGCATAGCATGCGAATATTTTTTTCCATTCTGTAGGTTTTCTGTTCGCTCTAGTGATAGTTTCTTTGGCTGTGCAGAAGCTTTTTAACTTGTTCAGATCCCATTTATTTATTTTTGTTGAGACTGTGATTGCTTTTGAGGTCATCTTCATAGATTCTTTGCCTAGGCCAATGTCTACAGGAGCTTTTTCAACACTTTCTTCCATAATTCTTATGGTTTCATGCTTTAGGTTTAAGTGTGTTATCCATCTTGAGTTGATTTTTGCGAGAGGTGAGAGGTGCAGATCCTGTTTCAGTCTTCCACATGTGGCTATCCAATTTTCCCAGCACCATTTATTGAATAAGGATTCTTTTCCCCAGTATATGTTTTTGTCTTCTTTGTCAAGATCAGATGGCTATATGAGGATGGTTTTATACCTGGGTTCTCTGCTCTGTCCCATTGATCTATGTCTCTGTTCTTGTGACAATAACATACTGTTTTGGTTACTAAAGACTTGTAGTATAGTTTGAAGTCTGGTAAACTGATGCCTCCCAATTTGTTCTTTTTGCTTAAGGTTGCTTTAGCTATATGAGGTCTTCTCTGCTTCTATATGAAGCATAGAATTATTTTTTCTAAATCTGTGAAAAATGATATTGGTATTTTCATAGGAATTACATTCAATCTGTAGATCACTTGGTTAGTATAGACATTTTAACAATGTTGATTATGCCACCCTATGAGCATGACATGTTTTTCCATCTGTTTACATCCTCTATTATTTCCTTCCTTAGTGTTTAATGGTTCTTCCTATAGTGGTCTTTCACCTCCTTAGTTAAATATATTCGTAGATATCTTATTTTTGTTGTTGCTATTGTGAAGGGTATCGAGTCTTTGATTTGGTTCTTTTGGCATATAGGAATGCTAATGATTTGCTCACATTGATGTTGTAACCTAAAGCTTTGCTGAACTTATTTATCAATTCCAATATTCTCTTGACAGAATCTTTGGGGTTTTCTATATATAAGATTATATTATCAGTGAAAAGTGATAGTTTGAGCTTTTTTGCCTCCATTTGGAAGCCCTTGATTTTCTTCTCTTGTCTGATTGTTCTGGCTAGGACTTCCAGCACTATGTTGAATTGAAGTGGTCATAAAGGACAACCTTCTCTGGTTCCTGTTCTAAGTGGGAATGCTTTCCATTTTTCCGATTCAGTATGATGTTGGCTATGGGTTTGTCTTATATGGCTTTTATGAGTTTTAGGTAAGTCTTGTCTATGCCTATTTTGTTAAGTGTTCTCATCATAAAAGGATGCTGAATTTTGTCTAATGCATTTTTTGTGTCTATTCAGAGAATCATATGGTCTTTGTTTCTACTTATGCATATGTAATGAATTACATTTATAGATTTGTGTACATTGAACCATCCCTGCATTTCTGGGGTAAAGCCCACTTAGTTATGATGGATTATGATCATTTAAACCTGACTAAAACAGATCTCGATACAATACACAGCTATTAGTACAATTAATCAATTCAGTCATTTTGAAGGGATAAATATTACCTGATTAAAATACTTATTCAAAATTATCAGCCACCCCCAAGTGACGCCAGCAAATGTGGTGGAGGAGGCAGCTCCTATGACCCAGCAATCCAAATAACTATCAAAAAATCTTGCAAAAAGAGTCAGAATTCACTTTTTCAGAACTCTAGGAAACAAAAGGGACCTGAGAATACTAAGTTTTCACCTCTGGCTAAAATAGTCTGCCTAAGTGTGAAAGGAATGCCTCAATACAGAGCCAGTAGCAAAGATGGTATAAAGGCTTTGCTTATTGTTTCTTTCTCTCTTCTCCTCCCCCCTTCTCTCTTTTTCTGCTCTCTCTCTTTTCTTTTGGTTCCCGGTGTTCAAAGAAATCTCTGTCGAAATATTAGCAAAACACAAGCTAAGAAAGAGACAGATCAGAAACTATGCATGAGAAAGAATACAGACCCTAAAAAAATAGTTTAGAAGATTCACTTAACAGACAGGTATGACCCACAGCAAGTAACAAAAACATACCATGAGGAGGGGAAAATCTCATTTCCATATTAACTACATTACAATATTCAAAATATCCAGTTTTAACAAAGATTTATGAATTATATAATAAGAAATTTTAACCCATTTATAAAAGAAATTAATAATACCTCCTTCTCAGAGAGCACAAATATTGGATTTCCTAGAGAAAGATTTTAAATCATCTGTCTTATATATTTTAAAGAGTTATAAGAACAAATGAAAAATATCAATAAAGAGATAGAAATTATAGGATGGATCTGCACAGAATTCTGGTGCTGAAAATTACAATAACTGAAATTAAAATCTCAGTAAAGGTCTTCAATAGCAGATGTGGCCCATCAGAAGAAAAATTCAGCAAACCTAAAGATAAGTCCGTTGAAATTAACTGGCCTGAGAAGCAAAAGGATAAAAGAATGAAGACAAATGAAGAAAGTGAAATAGACCTGTGGGACCCCATCATGCATACTAACATATACAAAATAGGAATTCCAGAAAAAGATATTAGAGGGATAGGAGTAGAAAAGACAATGCTATGCTTTGATATGCCAGCAATAAACAATTCAAACAGGAAATAATAAAAGAATTCCATTTACAATAGCATCTGAAAAGAATAAAATACATAGGAATAAATTTTACCAGGGAGAAAAAAGACATATAATGAAAATTTCAAAACATTGTTGAAAGAAATTAAAGAAGACCTAATAAATGAAAAGATATTATATGTTCATGAATGAGAAGATTTAATATTGTGGCAATTGCAATATTACCAAAAGTTATTTACAGTTTAAAGCAATCCCTGTCATAATTCCTCTCAAATTTCTATCAAAATTTGCAGAAATGGAATAGCGTATCTTCAAATTAAGGTAGAGCTACAAGGGATCCCAGATATCCAAAACAATCTTGAGAAAAAAGTATAAAGTTAGAGGACTCATTTCCCAATTTCAAAATTTAATACAAAGCCAAAGTAATCAAAACAATGTGGTATTGGCATAAGGATAGGCACAAAGAGACCAATGGAATTGAATAAAGAGCCCAGAAATAAATACAAATATGCATAGTTAATGACTTTCAATGAAGGTACCAAGATCAATCAATGAGAAAAGAATAGTCCCTTCACCAAATGGTGCTTGGACAACTGGATATCCACATGCAAAAGAATTAAGATGGACCCCAACTTCATACAATAAAAAAAAAAATACTAACTCAAAATGAATTAATGATCTAAATATAAGAACTAAAAGTATATTTGAAGAAAACATGAGAGTAAATCTTCATGACCTTGGATTTAGAAATGGATCCAAGAAATTCATGAAAAGATCGTATTGTTAGTTATTGGGGAACTGCAAATAAAAATCGCAATAATATACTATTTCACAGCCTTTAAGATAGCCATAATAAAAGTGTACAAAATAAGTATTAGCAATGATATGGATAAATTAAAATTCTTGTACTTTGCTAG